TTACTTCAAAATAAAGTTAAATTTTACTGTAAAACCACAGGCTTATCACACCCATAGACAACCATTCAACAACATAGTAAATTTGTACTTTGAAATGCAGTAAAGTTTTACTTTCATGTGAATGAAAGGCAATGTTTGACTCTAGAAAAAGTAAAATCTTACTCTGCAATAAAGTAAAAGTTTATTCTGAAATACTGAAAAATGTTACTTTGAAAGCACAACCATTTCAAGCTTTCACACCCACTGAACAAACTCCATTATAAGTTCATTTACATGAAACTTATTTAACCACATTAAAAAAATATATTAAAATGTCAAACTCAACCACAAAGCAAATCAGAAACTTGAACAGACAACCATTTAAAAACATAGTAAAAAATGTCTTTTATTGCAATATCTCCTTACAAATCTAGTCTAAAATACTATATTTAATTATTGCTATGAACTATTTATTGTAGAAGAACTGTATTATTTTCATACTTTTATTACAAAATCAATAATGTCTTTCACAGCAATGTCTCCTTGTAAGTCTTCCTATCATGACCGTACTTCTCGCATCTATCACACTGTACTCGTCTTATCTTCTCACCCCTAGATGGAATCTTATTCTTCCTTGGCCTACCAAGTGGCTTCTTACAAATTGGATGAAGGACAACAAGATCATTCATAGCTACAAGAGGTTTCTTAATAGTGGGTATTGGATAAACGGACTTAGCATAGCAAGCTTTGAACTTGCTAGTGTAATAAAATGGTTCCACATGTGCATACAAATCACCTCCGCTCTTTTGGATAGCGGTCGCCGCGTGAGCACAAAAAAATCCATTCAATTGCCATTGGTAACATGAGCAAGTTCTATTCAAGAGGTCAACGCTAACCGATGGTCGGGATTGAATCTCAAAAACATGATCACTTGAATGACTAACCAACCAAGTTCTTCCATTTTTAAGAGCATTTACTAATGTTGAATCCATCTCCGGACAAAGCAAAGTATTCCATTTCTTAGCTTGTTCTCTCATTCTCGATATCAAATCCATGATCTTTAACTTAATCGAATCAATCATCTTCGTAGTGGGCAAATGACAAGCTTGACGGATCCATGAATTGAAAGACTCTGCCACATTCGAGTGCATTTCACTATATTTTTGTTCTTTAAAATATGCATTAGTCCATTTGTCATGGGGCAAATTGGATAGAAACTTACAAACGATCATTTTTCCCTCATCTTGTAATTCTTTCAAGCACTGATTAAAACATCCCACTGTCGGAGCATAAGCACATGAAGAAAACAAAAAAACTATTACACTCCTGAAAGTATTTCTGAAACTTGGACCGGAGAACCTATCCCTCAAATTGGCCTTTAAGTGTTGGAGACAAAAATAATGGTAAGCAATAGGTAAAACCTTAGGTAAAGCCTCAAAAAGTCTTGCGTTCCAATAAGATATGAAGGTAATTGGTCTTTCATCCAACAATATATTCAACAAATGCATAAAAGACCATTTCCAACTGTCTGTAGTCTCCGTATCGACAATTGCCATTGCAAGAGGGAAAAAACCTGAAAAATAACATTTTACAATTAGTAAGTATATTAAACGAAAAAGACAAATATAGTAGATTTTTACTCTAATAATGAAAAGGGACTGTCTAATTTGTTATAACAAATATGCAATGATTGCGCGATGCTCCTCAAGAATTACTCTGTTTGCCTTGTTGGGAACTGTTTTGTTTCACCCAATCATTGCTTTCAACCAAAAGTGTATTGTTTGCAATTTATTGGAGCTTTATACCGACCTAGAATACGACTCAGTCGAGTCCCAAATAAATCCAATCATACCTTGTTTTCTTCCAGAAATCTTTTTTTTTTTTTGTGTGCCTGAGGTGAAACAGTGTAGACAGGGTATTCCTAGCCATTTTTGTCTCTTCTACCCTAATTTTTTTTTTTTTTTTTTTTTTTTGTACCTGAGGTGAAACAGTGTAGACAGGGTATTCCTAGCCATTTTTGTCTCTTCTACCATTCTCTATCATAAAAAATACTCAAGAGAGGAGCGAACTCGGTTCCCAAACCATCTATGGTTGCAAGTTGATTTGCAAGATGATTTTGGACACGATAAGATAAAGATCAATAAATGCAATGCATAACAACCACCCCTCCCTCCTATCATGAAGTGAATTCAAGAAGGGAAATAGAGACGCTTCAAGGTTTATCAAAATATCATGAATTGATGTAAGTGTAACATGTTACTCTAAGAATAAGTAACTCGTTACCTTTGAATAAACTATAGTAATATCTACCTTGATCCCCATCCTTCGCTGTAGGTGTTAACAAGGTGCCCTTATATTTTCCCTTTAGAAAAGTTCCATCGATAAACAATAAAGGACGACAATGCCTAAACCCTTGAATGGAAGCATTAAATGCAATAAAAAACCTCTTGAACCGTCCACTTTGATGGTTATAGTCAATACGCAAATAGCTACCAGGATTTGTGCTCATCACAATATCCATATACCATCGAATCTCATCATAAGACATAGAGAAATCTCCAAAAGTAGTAGTCCTAGCTTTCTCAACTCCCAACCAAGCGTGATTGTACGTAATGGTGAGCCCGTATTGATCTGTAAATTGACGCACAACATCAATTGAACGAGTTTGGGGATTCCCACGAACTTCATTAACAATCAAACTTGCAACCAAATTTGAACTCATCCTTGAGTTTTTAGAAGTACGAACTGCAGCTCCACAAGTATGCTCATCATGTAGAGTCCTAATGTAGAAAAAATTATTAGCACTTTCTAGAGATGCATGTACTTGCCATAAACAAGCTTTGGACTCCCACATTGAACATACAGCAGTGACCCGGCACTTCTCATTCTTCACATACACAAACTCAAATCCTATCTTAATGGCATATTTACATAATGCAATCCGAAAATCCTTTGCACCTTCAATAAATCTTTGACCTACATGAGTAATTCCATTCACCCATTCACAAGACAACAAAGTCCTTTCTTCATGTTGACAAAACATAATGAGTAAATCCATTTCATCATCAGTAATGTTGGATCCACTAGCGTCCCCTGATTCTCTAACTCCATGTTTTTCATTTGAAATGCCCAGTAATAGTTATATCAACCCGGTCAACACCGAGGAGATAAACAAGCGACAACATATTCTGAAAATCAGAATCATCATCAATCATGCATTGCGAATGTCCAGGCAAACAGTACGATAACAGTATGCAACCACTACTATCAAACTTCTTCAATTTACAACTTAAGAAATCAGTTAAATCCTTCAACGTGTAGTTTGACACAACCTTGAACACAATGGTACGATCACCATACTTGCATAACAACATAAGATGTGGAACCATTTTACAAATCTGCAATAAATTAACAGTAAAATTTTACTGTCACTATCAAAGTAAAATTTTACTATCACTATCAAAGTAAAATTTTACTGTCACTACAAGTCCAAAAGTCAATTTGTATTTTGTTTGAATTGATAAAATTTTACTGTGGTTTAGTGTAACATTGTACTATATTTTAGAGTTAATTTTTACTATTTGGTTTGCCAAGGATTGACAACTTATATAGTGTGTCACCAACACAACTTGAGACTTGAATCTAAAAGTAAAATTTTACTCTACATAAAAGTAAAATTTACTCTGAAATAAGAGTAAAATGTTACAAAAAGAATCTAAAAGTAAAATTTTACTCTGTATAAAAGTAAAGTTTTACTCTGAAATAAGAATAAAATGTTACACTCTGAATTTAAGAGTAAAATGTTAAACTCTGAATTTAAAAGTAAAATTTTACTCTGTATAAAAGTAAAATTTTACTATGAAAAATGAGTAAAATGTTAGATTCTGAATCTAAAAGTAAAATTTTACTTTAAAAAACGAGTAAAATGTTACACTTTGAATCTAAAAATAAAATTTTACTCTATACAAAACTAAAATTTTACTCTGTATAAAAGTAAAATTTTACTCTGAAAAACGAGTAAAATGTTAGACTCTGAATCTAAAAGTAAAATGTTACTCTGCACAAAAGTAAACAAATTTAATCTGAAATAAGGTAAAATTTTAATCTAAAAGTAATATTTTATTCTGAAATAAAATAAAATTTTACTGTGAAACCATAAGCTCATCACACCTATAGACAACCATTCAACAATATAATAAATTTATACTTTATAGAAATGGTAGTATTTGCAGACAATGAACTTGTTTGGTGTAATTTTTTGCTAGTTAAAAATTGATAACTAAAACACATAAGCTAAATCATATCTTCCATATCTTCTCAATAATTAAAATTTTTGCTTATCTAAGCTGTTTTTACCTGAGCAAAAGTTGCAACAAATTAACGTCAGCGGAAGCAGTGTTTGTGGCGGCTGAAGTGTTTGGCAATGACCACCTCTTTATAGTAAAATTTTACTGTTATTCTAACACAAAAGTAAAATTTTACTCTCATTCTAAACAAAGCACGTACCAGAATAAAATTTTACTCTAATTCTCTCAAACAAAAAACAGAGTAATAGAACCAGAGTAAAATTTTACTCTCATTATCTGAAACAAAAAATAGAGCAAATGAACCAAAGTAAAATTTTACTCTGATTTTGTCAAATGAAATCAGATCAAACATAACAAAAATAAATAAAAAAAAATAATAATAAAATTAATCAACAAATCAACATACCTAATTGAGAAGGAAAATCGTTGGCGGTGAGATCGTTTATTGTTAGCTAAGTGAGAGATCTTCGGCTGTAAGATCTTTAGATTTGGAGATCGTCTTCATCGATTTCGTTCCTGATTTCGTTCTTGCGAGATCTTTAGCTCAGATTTTAAATATTTCAAATGTATAATACGTATATATAAAATGACAATATTATAATAAAAAAATAAAAATTATAAAATATGCTTATTAAAGTAGGTTTTTTCCACTTAGAGATTTTTTTGAAAAAAAATTGATGATAAAAAGGCCCAAAAAGGGTTCACCAAAAATTCCAAAAAACGACCCACAAAACTACTTCCTGTTCCAAACAAGGAACTAGAGGAAACACATCCACTCCAGGAGGGAAGAGAGAAAGAGAGAGAACATATACATACACATATACAGAGTCTCTGAATTTAGAGAGAGAGAGAGAGAGAGAGAGAGCAATGGCGGAAGAATCAGAGAAACGGTTTCATGCTATCATGGACAAGCTCTTCCATGCTCCTCGCAAACCTAAATCCAAATCAACAACGCCTACGCCATCACAATCCACGAGGTTCTCTTCGATTCCTTGTTATTCTCTGCTAGGGTTTATAAATTTCATATCAGAACTCGTTGTCTATGTCGTACAAGCTCGCGTTTCTCCCATTTTTTTTTTCTATATTCCTGTTTTCTTATCAAATTCTATTCATTTCATTACTATCTTCATCAATTTCTGATTCTTAGCTGTACAATTTATGCAATTTTATCAAATTCCATGCCCCAAGACTAGAAATTCGCATTTTTTTTTTCATTTTTCGAATCATTTAATCTGCTAAAGAGTACGTATTTGATTTTCTTTCTTCTTCTTTCTCTCAAATTTTCCCCTTTGTGCTTGATAGTTCGTCTGCAGGTCAGTTGTCAAGAGGTAAAAAGCGCCCGAACATGGCGTTATCGGTATCGGAACCTAAATCGAGAGGGGAAATTTCATCGGTTTCGAGTGGATCAGTGCAAACTCCGGTGTGCAGACCGTGGGACCGAGGGGATCTTATGAGAAGGGTAGCTACATTCAAGTCTATGACATGGTTTGCTAAACCCCAGGTTTGATTCTAGTGCAACTCCTGAACAAAAAAATCGTTGCTTTTTCATGTGATTGTTTGGATTTAAGTAGAAAATGTTTTCTTGCTATGCATTCTTGACTTGGGTTAAGTGGTTTATACGAGCTTATGCAATGGGTCAGGTTTCAAATTAGTGAAGTTCAGAATTTGAGGTTTATAATGTTATCCTAGAGTTCAAATTATTTGAAACCTATGTCAAGGTGTTCTGGAGCAGCTTTGGAAAAAATAGTAGAGGAGTGTTATAAGCTATGATATTTTTTGAGGGTAATATTACAAGTTGGGAAGTATTGAGTTTGATAATAGTAATGATCATGTAATGGTGTTAGAACAAGTTTCAGTATATAGATAAACTCTCTTTGGAAGTGGAAATGTCCTTTCATTGAAGTGCGTTGCAAGAGGTGTGCAATATCCTTTTGAAAATTAAGGGAAATGTCGTGTATACTTTTGTAAAACATGAACTTCTCTTTTTGAAAATTTATGCAATAAAAGTTGGAAACTGAATGGGAACTCTAACATAACAAAGGGGAAATTGGAAAGAAGATGAAATTACTTGGGATTATAGATTTTTTATATATTTGTCTTACAAAATTTCTAGCAAATTCAAAATTGCCTTTTTAAAATGGGACATTTGATAAAATTGAAAAATACATAGAATATTTGCAAGGGCCTTTGAAAAATGGAGAGTTCTTGGAAACTATTTGACAAACCTAGTAAATGCAAGAAAGCTCTTCGAAGTTATTTTAAATCTATATAAAACTTAATATTTGCATATTTATGGCTTAAACTTAAAATACTGAGAGATGAGAATTCTCTGTTTCAATACTTAATTGAATGTTCTTCTTACAAGATGATACACTTCTCATTCCTTTCATACGTGCTTCCTATAATGATCCACAACACAAGTAATTTTCATTGGTTTCTTATTGTTTCTTTTTAAGTTTTAATTGAGCCAGTTCTTTTTATTTTTTATTTTTTTATGGTTGCCAAATTTTCTTGCTAGGATTCCTGTTGCGTTTCCCAATCAATTTTTTAATATCTTCTTGTATATTGCCTGACCTCATTTTTAGGTTTACCCAGTCTTTTCTCATTGTCAGTTCCTATTTTGTTAACCGAAGAAGCGTGAACATAGACACGATCACGAACACTGACACAGGCACATGACAACTATCTTGAAAAAATTAGGATACGAACACGGCATGTGTACGGCATAAAGAAAAATATTTTTATATGGATATAAATTTAGGACACAGTGATATAAAAGACATCAATTTATATGTGGATGTTTTTTTTTTTCCCTTTTTTCTCCTCTTTGTTTCCATATATTTCACTTTGATCCCAAATCAAAATTTTAAAATTATAAATATAAAAAAAATTCTACAAAGGAGTTCCGAGATATGTCCAAACTTAGGACACAGGTGTTCGTGAAGTGTCTTGAAAATGTCCTGCAAAAAAATAATAATTAAAAATATTGAAGGAAAGGATGGGATGGTGTATTGAAGGGAAATAACTAATGGTTTCCAAAATATTTAATTGGAGAGAACAAGTGAGTGATTGTTATGTGGCAAAAGAATATATCATGTATGATACGGCGTTAAGATGATAGATATGTAATTCTTGATCTTGTGAAACCTCACGAATACATGTGTTAATTAAGAATAGAATGGAGCATTTATTATGAGGCCCATGAACATATAAT